AGTGTCCCTGCTGAGGTCCAACCAGCAGGATGGGATACAGCTGGCAGCTACATGGTGGCCATGGCCCTGAGATGGTGCATTGCAGCCTGGCAGGTGGTCATTGTGCATCAGGGAGCTGGGAGGGCCTAGATGGCCATGGACCAACTGGCAGTCAGCACAGTGGGCCAGCAGGACAAGTGCAGTGGCCAGCAAGAGCCCAGGGCACTAGGCATTGCTGCCAGGGGCAGAGGCTGAAGCAGCCTTAGGTAGGGGAGGCAGAGGTGGCAATGAGACAACTGTCATGTGCTGCCCTGCTCTGTGCACACTGCTCTTGGCCAGGGAAGTGGCTGGCGAGCTGTGGCCAGAGCCTCGAGCTCCCCCTGGTGCTGGCAAGGGACCATTGCAGGGCCACAGGAAGTGGGAGCAGTTTGCCACTAGGAACAGCAAATCTGTTCCCACTTCCCTGCATGTATAGACTCCTTCCTGGAAGCATTTATTTGCAAGTAGTTTACTCTCAAGTAAATTGGTCCCGGATCAATTGCATGCATAGACTCACCCACTGAAGTGAAAATTTAAGCAGACTATTAAATAGTGAGCAACCTTACTATTTAATCATAAGAGGTGTAACTGGTCAATTTTGTGCCTTGGATGGATGGTGAAGAAGTAGTGGTGGAGGTCTGCTGCTGCAGAAGGTTGTCATCTTTTTTTGTCACTGATGTGTGATGCCTCTTCTCCATAGCAGCAAGTCTCTGGATGCTGTTTCTCCTATTCTGTGCACTGATGCTCATGCTTTGCCCTCCTCACTACTGGAGCTATAGCTGCTACAGGGAAGGTGCAGGGTGTGCACTGGGGGAGTGACCCCCAGCTCCATTCTGGCAGCTCCCGCCTCTGTTAGGCAGCACCTAGAGCTCAAGTCCCACTCACCCACCCATTGTTATGCTACTTCATAATTACTCTAATTCAAAGGTATCTAAACGTGAGATTCAGAAAGCATCCTAGGCACCTCCATCTTACACACTGCAACACCAAAAAAATTAGGTAACTAGCCTTAGTAGTGTGATTCAGGTAAATGCAGTTAGACTTGTAGGCTCAAGGCAATATACTATAATCCATTTTCCATTAAACAAGAATTAGCTGAAAACTCAGAATAATTCTGGGAGTGAGGATGGGACACCAGGAACCTTCTATGGGGTGTCTTTATCAATTGGTAGGGACCTACTGAATTCACAGCAGAAGTACAGCATTCAGTGGCTCCTTAAATTTTGCTGTTCCCCTGCAGGCCCCTCATCCATTGCCCCCCCCCCCCCCCTGTTGATTAGGGGAAGACCCAACCTCTCCCTCCTGATCAACAGGGAAGCTAAAACTGTGGTTTTAAACATGGCACTGTTTTTGCCTCCCCACCAGTCAGCAGCAGACAGCAGGGCTATCCGGGGCCCCTCAGCCAATCAGTGGCAGGGGGAAAACATGGCACCACATTTAAGGCCACAGTTTTCACTTCCCCACTGATAAGGAGAGAGCCACAAGTGGGGCCCTTCCACCAATCAGCAGGGGGTGGGCACAGGGGAACCTGCAAGATGAAAGGAGACACAGTGCACCCTACTTCTGCCATGAATTTAGTAGGTCCCTATCAATTGACTACAGAATCATCCTTGCTCTTGCTTGCTGTTTTTCTGGCTCCATGACTCTTCAATTCATGGCTCCCAAGATGCACAACTCCAATAGAAAGCTCAAGAATATCTTCATCCTAGCCTAGATTATAGCCTGGTGGTTAGGGCAGTCTTCTGGAAAGTGGAAGTGGACTGGAATCCCCTCAGACTGTGCTGGACATCAGGTTCCTGGTATCCCATCCCTGCTCCAAGGGTTATTTTGGATTTTCATCCACGTATTGTTTAGTGGAAAATGCATAAACCACCCCAACAACAGTGAATGGGCAGTAACTGCACTTTCATTTTTGTCTTTCTTAATGAAAGGGACTGGGACTATTGGTTTTTAAGTTGCTTATCCTTGTTGGGTGTTATTCCTACCAGATTTAACTCTTCCAGTGGCTCTGGAAAAATGAATGTGCAACTCATTTGTGTGAGCAATCTGCAGAAACATGCTTGAAATCTGGGTATTTATGCAAACAAATGCCCACTGTGATGCCTAAGGGGACACTTGTGTGCATCACTGTGATAATTACCCACATAAATTAAATTTCTATATAGATCAGCTAGGACTTTTCCCTTTTGGAAACAGCCCTAAAAATAAATTATAATCAGGACCAATGGAAATTATGGAAATGTGTGCTTTTTGCCTTGAAAATGGATTTTCTCTTTCTTTCCATTATTTTTGGAAGCAGTGAGGGTTAACTATTCACATGTGAGCTCACAGTGATTGAAAATGTGGTTCTACTCTGGAAATCACTCTCAAAATCTGGCCTGATTTTTTTGTGTTTACCAATTTAAAAAAAAACTTTTTTTATGCTGAACATATTGATATGGAAACAATGAAACACATAGATGAAATCTTACAATGAAATTCATGTACAGTAACTTCCGAAAATACAATGACAAATTATTTTCCTTAAACCAACTAACTATGATATTAATGTCATAATCTCTGAAATTGTGTAAATGGGCCTACAAAGGGAAAAACAGTTCAGTAGCATCTTTTATCTATGACACGTGGCAGTGGCAGATCTAAGCTCACAAAAACTGATTCGTGTTCTCCCGAAGTTTCTAAAAACTGGGTACTTCAAAATTACCAAAAGACAGACTGGTATTATGACTCCCTGACTATCTTCCCTTACCAGACCAAGCTGTTTATGCCACAGTTTGGTAGCACTAGTTAACAAAACAAGTCCTAAACTCCATTTTGGCTAAGGATATGTGCAATGGGGTCCTGCCCCAAGGGTGGTCATTATGCCCTGGTAGCCCCCCTCATCCCTCATCAACTTTACTTTCTTTGGGCAATCTCTCCTTCAACTCACCTTTCACATCTTGAAGTAATTATCCTTTTAGACAAAGGAAGGCTGTCCCAGGGCTGCCTAAGTGAGACTGCATACATCTAAACACAGATGTCACTGCTCACCACTTTAAGCACTAAGGCCTCTTCATCTCCCCTTTTGGCCATGCCCAAGCCTCACAAATATAAACAATCAATTCCTTGTCATTGGGTGTTAAGTCCCATTGGGCATTAAGACCCATGTCCCATCCCAGCATCAACTCCAATCAATGTGAGCCTCTAAACCTGGAACAATCTCTGCCACTACTGGGGCTCCTGTCTCCTGTGCCTTTAATCGTCCTAGCCCCTCCTGGGCTTGGGCCTCTGTACTTCAAATAATCTCAGCCCCTCTTGGGCTCAGGCCTGCATTCTCTATTCCTCCAGGACTCAGGTCTCATTACCTCCAACAGACTTCATCACATCGCCCCCTTCCCCCGCCCTGGTTCTTGCCCTTCCTAGGCTCCGGGTCCCTAATGCTGGTTCTTGCCCGTTGTGGGCTATAGGTCCCTGACTCTGCCTGCTCTCATTCCTCTTCAGCTATGGTCTTTCTTCTTGGCCATGGACCCTATATCTCAGGCCCTGGCCCCAATCCTGAGTCAGTTGAGACCTTCACTGTCCCTACAGTCTCAGTCCCTAAACCACCAGTCTTGCCTACCCCAGCTCAGGTATTAGTCAGTAGCCTAGATGCAGCCCTCCTGCTCAGAAGCTCTTCTCTTCATGGCTCTGCCTAGCTCCAGCCCTGGATTTATATCCTGAAAACCTAGTTCCTTGTGGGTCATGTGTAGTTCCGTTGATTGCTGTCTGTCTCTCCTGCAGCCTGCCTTCCCTTAAAGTAGCAGGAGCACCAAGCTCCCTGCTATAGTATGTCTACATAGCAGAGTTCAGTGCTATCTAGAAATACCTGATATGGTTCTGAACAAGTTACCAGAAGCAATATCCCTGTGGTAATTCAATGTACTATCCGCGTTAACACACTCCCATATTAGAACAAATATACATATGCATGCATACATACGTATGCACATACATACATATTTTATGTATAGATATATTGTAGCACGGAAGAAAAGTTAGGGAAAAGAGAGAAATTTTGAAGAGAAAGCTTCAATTTTCTTCTAAACAATACAGTGCAAATGAAAGGCAACAAGAGTAGAGCTGCTCAAAAGTCTAATGGCAACTCCAGAACTAGTCCTTGGTCAAATGCAATGTAATTGGCCTGCTTTCCAAGTCCAGTAAGGATAGACATGGGGTTACATCAATAGATGGTAGGAAAGCTTCTAGCTCCTAAGGAGCCCCCAAATACGTACTAAGGTGGTGAAAGCCCCCTTCTTGCTTTTCCTATGATTCCTGAAGACAATACAAGGATGCAGAAAGGACTATCAAAGCTCTTGTCTATAATTGGGCTTTTGAGTCTTACTTCCAGATGGTTTAAAAATACGAGTATTTTTGTTTAGATGGACAAAAGCCTACCCCTTGGATCCAGTTATCCCAGATTTTTGAGCAATACAGCTAAAGAACCAAATTTTGTGCTGCATGCTTATTTAAAATTCTATTAATAGCATATGCCACAATAACTACAGAGAAGTGGTGAGACTGTATTCATTACAGGGTACTTGGTTAGACATAATTTACTGCAATGCTAGGTTACTAAGACAACAGTTTATTGGTTTACTATGAGAAGATAATTTCCATAACAAAAAAAGCTAGGAACCTATTATTAGCAAACAACACCTCAGAGACTGCAAGAAACAGAACCAAAATATGGAAGAAGATGACTTTTACCTACCATTTTCAAATGTGCATTTACACCCATTATTCCCCACTGTTCCAGGTCATGACTATGAAACACAAAATATAAAACACTACACTTCATGTTTACAGTTGAAATGTTTGACTTTGGGCAGGTTGCATTACAGTGCTGTTCAGTCCTGCTCATTGTAAAAGCTCATTTGATTGCAAGCCACCAAAGCCACTGATTCATAGACCACTTGAGTTCAAGGTTAAACACTGAAGGGTAGCCTGAATGAATAGTGACTTACGTCATGACTAATGTCTCATCTCCAGGTTCACTGAGTAGTCCATCTACAAAAACTGAAGTGCTGGTAAAATTATGTGTACTCCATGTCTGGCCCTCATCAATGCTGAATCTGTAAAGAGAGAAATGCCTTCTGTTCACTGCAGTTCTTTAATAAATATCCTCATTATTATTGTATTACAATTTGAATGAAATCTTAAAATAGTTGTACTCAAAATTCAGTTATTTGCCTAGTTAAAATAACAAAGTAAATGTGATGCCTCCCTTAACAGCAAATCCAAGGGCTTGACATCTTCATTAAACAATGTTACTGTTAAACTGGCTGCAGGCTGCATGACCAGACTGTTTCGATTATGTCAGTGCTGAAGGCTGACACTGCACTATCCTGCTATCTTCCTAAGGGCCTATTATTGGTTTCATTTTACTAAGTTTATTGTTGTGAGAGGTGTCTGCACTATAAAGACTATTTTCACATAATTCCTGGATCATTTTGGCTATAACATCACTCCAACACTACCAAGACTACAAACACTATCACATTTCACAAATTCTCCCTTTTTGTCAAGTGGTTTCTAATGATGTTGAAAGGACAAGACAGTGTGAATTAAAACACAAGTTAATGTTCAGGCTACATTTTCTTTCTGCACCCAAACACTGTGACTCCAGAAATCCCTTCTCTTTCCTAAATTTAGTCCCAGTCTCTCAAATGTTTTATTAACATTATCCTTTTCTCCAGGCAACTGGTCATACACCCAAACTGGTATAAGCATCATGAGTAAATATTATTAGTAGTATGTAAAGCAGAGGACTAAGTGTTTGTGATCAATACATGTCCATTACTCTTAGAAAAGCCAGAAGTACAGACCGTTGCCAGATTCCAATGTGGATAGTTATATTTTATCTACCTAAATACTCCTGCAGTAATTTCAGTGTTGACCCCAAACCTCACTTCAAATTATCATATACTGTCAAGTTACTGCATTTCAATGGTGAATTAAGAGATCCCCACATGTAATTTATACTCTGGGAGCCTTTTGAAAGGCCTAGATTGATGCAAGTCAATATTATTACTAATCATTGTACTAATGGCATCACTAGGTAACCTTTAACAAAATGTTCATTTGCAGTTTGTTGGTTTAATGAATGTTAAATTAAGGTGACTCCACCTGGGTTTCTAATTCATACATACTGAAATGCTCATTTTAAACTCCAGGCTATATTTGAGGTCTTAAATTTGTAATAGCTGTACTATAACTGACTGGAGCATTACTTGAGTATTTTCAGAGGGATAGAAGTGTCTTTGATGGCCACAATAACTCCACCATGGTCCAGATACAAGATATGATGTTCTTCTTCAAAAACCTAGAAAGAGGACAACAAAAGAGCAACTGAACAAGTGTCTAAGCCATCAAAAATAAAACGCATTCTTGAAACATGATTAAAACAATTATGAGGTTTTAGCTGTTTGGAACTGTCTACTTTTTTTTAAACTCAATAGTATGTAAGAATTAGTTGTATCCAGTAATGTACATAATTATTATAAAGCTGGTTACATAATATGAATTGATTTCTCTAAGTTGTGGATTTCTCTAAGTTGAAAACGAAATTTAAGGTAATAAATCAGGGTATGTTCAGGTTCAAACCACAGTCAGGTTAAACAACCTATAATGATCTCAGCCCAGATGTGTACTCACAATGGCATTCCTGACCCTTTATATAGCTTTTTGTGACTTATAACCTTACTTAGAATAGTTGTCATATAGTTTATTGGCATTAGAAAACAGCATGCCTTGTAGTATAATATCAAGAAAAACAAAAAAAATATTTCTGCCCATGAGATTCTAACACACTCTCTAAGGTATGAAGTCTATAATGCACCTGGCATGAGTTTTGTTTCCTGTGTAGCGTTTACTATTAATAGTGTGTTTGTCTAACTTCAAACTTTGTATGATGTTAATAGGTCGCTCTGAGTTCTGAATGGTCAGGCTATGTGATGCTGACTCAGTGATACACGGGAGATGTACTGAACAAGGACATATTCAAGGACAAATGTGTTTTTTTTCTATTCCCACAGTTCAATAAATCACAGAAGAAAACCTCATTGGAAGATTTCCTGATTCTCATTATTCTGGCTGATCATAAACTATTGAAAATGCAGCCAACTAGCCAAATGGAAATGAGGGTATAGTGGTTACAAAGAAGAGATTTATCAACTGTTAGTACATGATGATATCTGAGACACAGAGTTACTTTATATTTTAAGTATAAGAAAATCTTTGGCTATCTTACAACACATTCCCAGGTAACTATTGATCTATGTATACAGAAGACTTAAAAGAGACATAAAATGAAGAAGATTAAAAACATTCTTTGAAAGCCCAGATCTGAAGTAACTGATGAAACATGAGTTGAAGGAAAGAAAAAAAAATCCCAAAAGCTTACTCTGCATCACTGGAAACAATAAATAAATAAATACATTTACTTTATACATCTGAGGTTTGCTTCTTCCTGCAGTCCATGAAACTTTCTTTGACATGGCAGCAGGAGATAAAGTGGGAGTTAATGCACACCCCATGGAAATATAAAATATACCTTTAACCCATCATATGGCTTGACAAAAGAAAAGGTGAAATAGACAATGGTTTGTTTTGCTTCACCATTGTAATTGAAAAATACTGACAATGCTAAATACTTCTCTTTATTCATTTTAAAGCCATATCATTGAAAGTCTGAAGTACTGAAGAAAAGCCTTTACCTCCCAACACATCCAAATGTATTTCTAAGAATAAAGCAGCATTAAAAAGGCAGGAAGAACCTAGTTAGAACCTTATTGGCCAACTGTACTTTCTTTCCTTATTTAAAGGGAATACTTTAGTTGCAAAAGCCTTTGGATCTTGCCAATTTGCAGACCAGCGTAAGAGACATTTATTAGTCCTGCCTTCTTGTTACATTCAGCTGAATATTTTAACAAAGCATTCAGTAATGGATAGATACTAATTTCAGATGCACTTCGAAGTGATCAGGTCAGATGCAGTAAGATAAGCAAGGGAACTTTGGATCCTGATCTAAATCTTGCCAAATTTCTGCTCAAATCCAGATCCTATTTCACCTCCCAGATGTACAAAAGCTTCTTACAAAGATTTTAGTGTCTAATCCATATTTGTAAAGAGGAGTAGAATTGGAAACCCACCCACATTTTAGCCTACTGGTTAGGGTCCTCGCCCAGGAAGTAGGAGGTTTAGGTTCCAGGCCCTCCTCAGCTAGTAAGGTTTAAACCAATGTCTCCTCTTACCCAAAAGAGTGCCCCAGTCACCAGGTCACAGGCTAATGGGGGCTGAGGACATCCTCTATCTCTCCTGTTGATGTTGGCCCATAGCAAAAGGGAAAGATATGTGGAGCCAGAAGAAACAAGCAAGAGGGAGTCTGACTCTGTGGCCCAGTGAATTCAGCCCTGAGTCCAGACCTCAGCTCTCAATGCAGCTTACATTTTTGCATTAGGTACCCTTTAGATAAAAGAAGTATTTCTGTGTATTTGGTCTACAAGCTCTGTGGACCAGAACCATCTCTTCCTATATGTCTGCATGGCCCCAAGTTCAATACCAGCACTATTGTATTATACTACAATAAATCAGTGCTAAGAAAAACAATAAGGTCATCCTCAACACTAGTTAAGCCAGATCCTGTTAAAAATATGGAGCGTGAAAAGCTAACCAAAGAGGCCAAAAGAAGGTGATATAGAACCAGCGTGAGAAAAGAATCCAATTCAAAGGTGATCTTCATTTTCACCTCGTTTTGGCTTATATCTATTTAATATTGATTTGGCAGTTCATCTTTCACATTTTAATATGTTATTTTTCTTGGTGTGATGGGCCCAAAATTGTCCCCAAACCCACTATAACTATGCTATGTTTGCCTTATTTGAACCATTTCTTCCTGTCTCATTTATACTTTCTTTGACATTTATCACATTTTTGTTGTTTTTTTTTCAAATGAGCCTTTCTTTGTTCATCTCTCTTTTCTTCTTTTTTTACTAAATTCCAGGTGACATCTTGATTTTAGTAAGGTTTTTGACATTTGTCACATGGCATTATCTCTAACACAGGAAATATGGTCTAGAGGTTCCCAAAATTTTCCTTATTGTGTACCTCTTTACAAATTTACCAGCAGCCTGTGTACCACTACCAGCATACATTTTATATTTCAACCCCTTAAATGCCAATTATTGTTATTATAATGAAAACTGAATCTACCATTGCACAATTTCTCCCCCATACCCCCCCCCAGAGATGTCTATCATACATACTACAGTTTGGGAACCCCTGGTCTAGAGGAAATCAATACAAGGTGGGTGTGCAGCTAGTTGGAAAGCAATGCTCAAATGGTTCACTATTAAACTGGAGGACATTTCAACCTGCTCTCACAGATTAGTTATCAGTGGTACACTGGCAGACTAGAGGATATTTAAGGTGGATTCCACAGAGATCTGTCCTGGTTTTGGATCTATTTGATATTTGCACTAATAACTTGGATGATGGAATAGGGAGTAACTTAAACTAATCTGCAGCTGCTACCACATTGGGAGGGACTGCAAGAAACTATTAGAATTCAAAGTGAGGTAGATAAATTGGAGAGATGGCCTGAAATTAACACGATGAAATTCTACATAAACAAGTGCAAAGTACTGCACTTAGGAAGGAAAAATCAAAGGCACAAATACAAAATGGGGATTAACTAGCAAGGCAGCAGTACCACAAATAAGGTTCTGGAAGTTATAATGGATCACAAAAATGAATATGAATCAACCATGTGATCTAACAAATGAAACTAATTTCATTCTGAGATACATTTGTAAGATACAGGAGATAATTATTTTTCTCTTTTAGTGTTACTGTGTTCAGTTTTGATCATCACTTTAGGAGAGATGTAGACAAACTGAGAGAATCTAGAGAAAAACAATGAAAATGATCAGAGATATAGAAAATAGGACATAAGCAAAGGACTGCAGAAACTGGAATTGTTCTCTGTAGAAAAAGAATGCTAAGGGTAGGCATGATAACTTTTTTAATATATAAAAGGCTGTTATAAAGAGCAATGCCCAGCTGCCCTCCTTCTCCACTGGGGGAAGGAAAAGAAGAAATGGGCTTGAATGTCAGCCAAAATGATTTAGGCTAGCTACCTGGCCAATCCTTTTGGCACTAAGAATATAAACAGATGTCACATTTATTGTAGGACTGTTTGAACTACTTGTCCCAGAAGGAAGAAGTTGTAGAATCAGCATGTCCACACGTTGCCGCAAGCTTAGAGCGCCTGAATGCACCACCATTCTCCTGCCAGCAGGTGGCCAGAGACAGCATACATCAGCAGCCAGATTAAAACTGATTGGAAAAGGATGACATCAGTGGGCTCGATGGCTGCCATGACTACTTCCATTGGCACTCAGAATGAGGAAGCAGCACTTGCAGGGGAAAGGCTCATGCATGTGCATGCTGCCAAACAGTGAAGGGTCCATCACTATGTTCAACTCCTAATCTGTAGCAGAAGCCGCCATCTTGAAGATATTTTGGCCACAGTCAGGGCTGTCCCTAGGAGGGTGCAAATCGGGGCGATCACCCCGGATGGAGGGCAGGTGTGGGGCAGAGCAGCAGTGGCGCGAAGCCAGGCAGAGCAGTGGCTCCACATCCAGCTGCTTGTTACCCCCGCCACCGATGCCACCGCTGGCATCAGTGGCGGCAGCTTCTTCGGGTCTGGGGTCCACATTGGAGTGGGGGCGGGGCCCCGCATGGGCTGATTTGTCCCAAGCCCCACACCCTGCTCGGGTCAGCTCTGGCCACAGGTCAGCATATTGTGGCCAAGCAAATGTGGAAGTTGCTCCAAATCACAGAGCTGCATTTATGGGTCAGAGAGATGAGTAGGGACTGGCGGGAGGGGATCATCATGGCC